TTGGGGGGGGGGGGGTGGTCTGGAAAAAGGGGAAGTTGAGTTGAAACATGACTGGTAAGGTGGAATACTACCTCAAATGTCATAAATAGTGTAACATGTCGGTGTATTTGGAATGAATGCTTTCCTCTATCGTTTCAAGGGGGCCCCGCAACATACAATGGGGGAATTGTTAATAAATGCTTAATGGTTTCTCCCTCTGAATGTCTGTTAATTTTTGTGTTACTTTTTGGGATAGGTTACAACTGTCGATAAGTTTCAAGGTCAGCAGAATGATTATATCTTATTGTCTCTCGTCCGTACGCGCTTTGTTGGCCACCTTCGTGATGTCAGAAGATTGATTGTTGCAATGTCCCGTGCGCGTCTGGGTCTTTATGTTTTTTGTCGACGTTCTCTTTTTGAACAATGCTATGAACTCCAACCGACGTTTCGACTTCTTTTAGAGAGACCTGATCACCTCGGCCTCAATGTTGATGAGGCAACATCCCTGACAAATCGTCCTGTTGGAGAAACTGGACCAATCAGTCTTGTTAGTGGACCTGAAGAAATGCAGGGTATTGTGAATTTCAAGATGCATCAGGTCTATCAGGTATCTTCTCTCTGACTGCAATATATGGATGATAATTTTTGGATGACATTTTGGAAGCTTGAAGCATTGCTAGCTTAGTCTTGTGGATTTGATTCAAAACCTTAGTCAATGGGAACTGTTTGATGTTTCCTGTGTTGACTTCTGGGGACACACCGGTTAAGAAATGGTATATGATGGTGTTGCCAATTATATATTTTGCTTTATTTTGTATAAATTTCTTCACAAGTCACCGATTAAGAGTAATATACTATTGGATGGTGTAGCATACTGTGACATGCTTGAGTGTCTTGTGACATCTAGAAACATATACTGATTAAACGATGGTGCATGTTGGTGCAGCCCCCTGTCAACATGAAATGGTAGAAATGTTGTAAATGTCATGGAACTGTTCTTTCATCTCTTGTTTGTGTAGTTTAAGACATTTGTTTCCTTCTTTTATGCCTTCTGCTCAACTCTACACCTGAGAGGCCTCCCCTTCACTTCTCAATGTTGCCTAGATACTTAATTTACAGCGTTTATACACATTATTTTTCTGATGGGGAGCCTTGGAACAATGGTGTGATCTATAGGTCACGGCTTTGAGCCGTGGAATCAGTCACTGATGCTTGCATCAGGGCAGGCTGCCTACATTACACCCCCAGGCGTGCGCCCCTTCCCCGGATCCTTCGTGAACGCGGGATGCAAAGCCCTACTTTTTTCATAATTTGGTGCTCAACGTGTTCCTCTATCTTCTGCACAGGCACGGATGATGAGCCATATTGAGTATCCTCCTCATCCGGAATCTGTCCCCGTGCAAAGTGTGGAGCAGAATGCGATGTCCCTATCCCATCGTATGGCTACTGATAAGACAGCTATTGAAGATGGCGCACAAGACACAGAACCATCAGAGTCGATGGAGTCCCCGAAGGATCCACCTGATGATGGAGAGATGTTAGTTGCAAGCCATTCAAATGGAGAGGTTGATGGTAAGGATGAGAGAGTTGATACTGGCGGAATGGACATCGAGAACAACTTGAATGTGGAAAGCAAGATGGAAGAGTAATATAAGCTATTCTGCAAGTTTGCCTTTCTGGCCCCCCATGTAACTTGATTGCCACAGAGATGTAAAATATGATATTCATTATCAGCGGCCCTAAGTTGTATAGATCTCTTAAAAGGTTGTCAGTTCAAAGGCCAGATGTCGTGGAACAGCTGCAAATGCAATGTTACGTTGGCTGCATTCGACTTCCACAAGCAGCACGGTTCTAAGCTCCACAGCCCGTGACTTGGTTGCAGTGTGTGTAGCAAAATTGTGTTCTCGTAGGTGGTAATCACCAATATGAGCAGTAAATCAAAATAATTATTCTGTAGAGATTGGAGGTGGGGAAAACCCAGGGCGAAGGGTGTGCTGTTGGCGAATGGACTGCACCACCTCGAGATCCTCATCAAGACACTGTGCGTGTATGGCTGGGGAGGGGCTGCTCCTCATTGGTTCACTTACCAGCGAGTTCAGGAGGTGCCTATGGTCGGTAAAATGACACAACTTTTGTAACTTATTTCCGGAAATTATGGCCAAGTTCTCCTATTTTGAGAGTAGGTATTCTGATATTAACCCTTGCTTGACTTGTTAAAATCTCTAGCCTCTGTATTGTCATCTGACTCCTCTTGTTCTAAAGCTTAAGCTTTCATTCAACTTGCAGACACTTTAATTTCAATTTCAACGTTCTCAAACACATGTTTCCACATTCCAACCTATCAAATCAAATACTTCACTTCTCATCATAAAAACAATTGATTTGGTAACGTGGAATATAGAAGTGATATTATTATTATTATTATTATTATTATTATTATTATTATTATTATTATTATTATTATTATTATTATTGTTGTTGCTGTTGTTATTATTATTATTACACTTTGTGGGTCTATGAAATGCTATCTTTTACCTAAGAAACGTCGAAATTCATTTCATATATAATTTAAAAAGTTAAAACGTTACATCCCAATTTTACATTTTTAAACACAACTTCTCTTTATCTTCCTACAATGGCCAACTTGTGTCTCTAGCAACTTCTAGAGTAAATAAGACTTCAACTCTTCGCGTAGTAAACGTGTCATGTCAAATAAAGATGTTAGATCGAATACCAAATTATTATTATAATCTCTTTAACAGAATATCCTAGTCAGCTGCCATTCCTGTGTCCACATTCTCCTAGCTGGCCTGCCGGCCGCTGGCCCCTATCAAAATGGACCAACGCCACCCTCAGAAGTCAGAAGAATTCACTTTTTTTTTCCTTTTCCTAAACCAGGGTGCGAAAAGACAGTTACATACTCCAAAAAAGTAGGAAAAGGTGGAGGAAAATCAGTTGTAAGTTGGAGGAAAGTGATTGCGTTTACTTTGTCATCCCTTAATTTTTTTTTTCCTACTTAATACGAATCATTAAGATAAGATATGCGCTTCATTTTGTGTTGACCTTAATTGAGAATTGATACTGTTTATAAAGTAATTTGACTCGTATATTACTACATTTGTTTCGTCTCCTTCCCCATATTCCGTGACAGAAAATTATTTAACAGTAGATTTCAACGGACAGAAGAATCCACTTTTGAAAATATCCATCAAAGAAGGACCAGCCAAAAAAAAAAAAAAAAAAAAAAAAAAAAAAAAAAAAAAAAGAGAAAAAGAGAAAAAGAAAAGGAAAAGAAAAAGGAAAAGAAAAAGTGGAGTGTGCGATTTGCACTAGTACAAGTCATACAAGAATATTTAGGACTAAGTCAAACATTCAAAGTTTATTAGAAACATTTATTACGATGTGAGGCTTTCTTGGATCATTAGATAGATGCCTGCCTTGCCTTCACATCCATACAAAGCACATCCTTCCAATCTCTCTCTCTCCCCTTTCTCTCATGAAAAACGTACAAAACATAATATTCAAAATAATTCTAGAAATAGTTGTTATAAAAATGACCACATGTATAACAAAAAAAACAAAACACCACTTTCAATTAGGAAAAGGATTCAATATTTTAAGGCAAGTTAACCCTTGTATTTCACGTCAATGAACTAAGATGATGAACATAACAGACAAAACTACTAGTACTACAGTAAGAGTTGAACCAAGTCTTGGTCTTTCTTCATTTTCTTCTCTTCTTTCATACTTGAGAAAAGAAAAAAACTGCAGATGAGTGTGAAAGAAGAAACATTAATCATAGAGGTGTCCTCTGATCAACAATCAATTATTACAACAGATGACACTATGGGTTCAGAATATTCATCTGCTCAAGAACAACTCTTAGAATTTATGGAGAAACTGAGTTCAATTCTCACTGAATTGAAAGATGATAAAAGGGTTATTATGACCAACAGTACTCCTATTCAGAAAGCCATTGAATCACTTGAAGTCGATTTTAAACGTGCCGAGGCCTTATTGAAAAGCAGCCAATTCTCCCCTGCTGCACATGATGAGCAACACATACAATTACAAGTAATTGTGCAGAATCTTGCAAGGGCTTTAGGCCTTGTGCTTTTTGCTAGTCATGACGTTGTCGAAATTACTAACAAGGTTGAGATTGAGACACTGAGAAGAGAGATGATGAAGATGAGTAGTGTTAATAAGCCTAGTTTGATCATGAGTTCAGATGAATCCGAGTTCTCATCATATGATCGAGAGATAGTGGAAGAAGAAGACGATCGAATAACTTTAGATGTCGATGATATTGTTGTTCAAATCAAATATAGTGATGCTGAAAATCTTAAGTGTGCGCTCCATGGATTGAATACATTGGTTTTGGATGGTATGGTTACTAAAGAAAGGGTTCATCATGAAGATATGATCCCCGTTCTGTTTAATCGATTGAGTTCAAGTAAAGCTGACCATAGATTGATCATACTCAGAATACTAAAAGCCCTGGTCGCTCAAGACGAGGAACATAAGGTACATTAACTTAGTACTCCCTCCGTCCCAATTTATCTAGCACCGTTCAGATTTCAAGAGTCAAACAAGTTTTTCTTTGACTTTATCATATGCCTTTTAAATAGTTTAAATTGTTAATTGTTATGACTTATAGTACCTTTATACGTACTTCCCAATTATGTAAATTTTATTTCAAAAAGTTTAGAAATTCTATCTTCGAATTCACGATCAAAATTAAGAAGTTTGATTCGTGAAATCCGAACTGTGCTACATGAATTGGGACGGAGGGAGTATTAATTAAATGCATCTATATTTTGAGGATCAAGAAGCTGAAAGTTTGGACTTTTCACATTGTGTGCAGGAAAAGATGGCAGAAATGGGAAATTTATCGATACTGGTGAAGTCGTTGGGTCGTGATTTGGAAGAGCAAAAAGAAGCAGTGGGGTTGTTGGTGAGTCTCTCTAATGTTGCTGCAGTTAAGAGAAGAGTTGGGAGAATCCAAGGCTGCATTGTAATGTTGGTTGCAATTTTTAATGGAGATGATCAAATGGCTTCTCATGATGCTGCCAACTTGTTAAATTCTTTATCAGGCAATACTCAATATGCTCTTCATATGGCTGAGGCTGGTTACTTCAAGCCTCTTGTACACTACTTGAACCAAGGTATTTTACGAAACTTCCATAAATTATATACTCCCTCCGTCCCAATTTGCTAGATGCAGAGGCACATAATTGATCGATATGAACATAATGAGTCGCTTACTATATCATATATATGTTTGCAGGATCCGATATGAGTAAGATTCTAATGGCAACAGCACTTTCTAGAATGGAGTTGACAGAACAAAATAGAGCTAGCCTTGGACAAGATGGAGCCATTGAACCCCTAGTGAAAATGTTCACAACCGGGAACCTAGAAGCTAAGCAATCTTCTCTAAACGCGTTGCACAACTTATCTGGCTCGAAAGCAAACGTTCAGCGTCTGATAAGATCAGGCATCGTTTCAACTCTACTACAGCTTCTTTTCTCCGTGACATCGGTGCTCATGACTCTAAGAGAGCCAGCATCCGCGATTCTTGCAAAAATTGCAGCTCAATCGGAAGCTGGCATTGTACTAGTGAAACAAGATGTTGCGCAGCAGATGCTTTCGCTCCTTAATCTGACTAGTCCAGTAATCCAGTGTCACTTGTTAGAAGCACTTAATGCTATTTCTGCACGTCCGAATGCCTCAAGGGTCAGAAGAAAAATGAAGGAAAATGGCGCTGTTCGCCTTCTCTTGCCATTCCTAACAGAAAACCGCAAAACCGAGATAAGGAATGGAGCTTTAAATTTGATTTACGTATTATCTAATGACATGAAAGGTGGAGAGCTAATGGAACAACTAGAAGAAATGCATCTGAATACATTGATAAATGTCGTTTCATCATCTTCAACAACAGATGATGAAAAGGCCGCTGCTATTGGTATACTAAGCAATTTTCCAGTGAGTGATAAGAATGTCACGGATGTGTTTATGAGAGCAAACTTATTGCCCATTTTGATTTCCATAATAATGTCTTGTACTCCTACAACATCACGATTATTGGCTGAGAACATAGCCGCAATATTAATCCGATTTACTCTTCCTTCGGATAAGAAACTACAACAGTTTTCTGCTGACAATGGGGTGATCAATGCTCTGGTAAAGCTGCTCACGTGTGGTTCGATAGTTGCCAAATCTAGAGCTGCAACATCTCTAGCTCAACTATCTCAAAACTCATTCGTTCTGAGAAAATCGAGAAAATCAAGATGGTTTTCTTGTGCCCCTCCTCATCCTACAGATGGTTTTTGTAGTGTACATGATTGTCATTGCTCTACAAGAAGCACATTTTGCTTGGTAAAAGCAAGGGCAGTGCCTCTGTTAGTCGAAATATTACAAGGCAACGAAAGGGAAGCCGATGAAGCTGCACTAACTTGCCTCGCAACATTATTACAGGATGAGATTTGGGAAAATGGGAGCAATTTCTTAGTGAAAATGTCATGTGTACAACCAATTATCAAGAATCTTGAAGAAGGGATGAGTCTGAAAGCTCAAGAGAGATCACTTTGGATTTTGGAAAGGATTTTCAGAGTGGAGGCTTATAGAGTTGAGTATGGTGAATCTGCACAAGTGGTGCTCATTGATCTAGCACAGAATGGTGACTCATTGTTGAAACCTACAGTGGCTAAACTGTTAGCACAACTTGAGCTCTTGCAACCCCAATCAAGTTACTTTTGAGACATCATGTTAATGAGTTTCTTTTTGTATACTTCAAATATTTGTTGATTGATTGAAATATTGAAATTGTACAGTGCTTATACTGATAAACATTTTCAGTTGCGATTTTTTCTCGTTATTAAAAAAAGGTTTTTGGAAATGAATTAACCTTGTTATCTTCAGCACATTATTTCAGCATTCTGAAGTCCTAGTGTAGAGGCAACCGCTTCTTCTCCTCCTAAACGTGTGAGTATTGTGAAAAAATATGAACATCTAATTCAAAACCTTATGACAATTGGTGAAGTAGCCCAGGATTGTTTAAGCCCCTTCGAGACCCTTGCACAATCAATGATGGACAAATGTACCATTCTCTGATGCCCTTAAATGTAGAAGGTCAGGGTTCGAGCCGTACAAACAGCCTCTTGCAGAAATGTAGGGTAATGCTGCATACAATAGGCTCTTGTGGTCCGGCTGCACCGAACTGCTCTTTCATTTTTTTTAGAGAGAGGGGTGGGGGGTTTGGGGGGCATTGAGTACAGAGACACTTAATTAGGCTCTTCATATGAAGCTGGTTATTTCAAGCCTCTTGTACACTAGTTGAACCAAGGTACACGAATTGTACCTATTTGATTAATTTATCCTAGTACTAACTATTTGATAAGATTCTAATGACAACAGCACTTTCAAGATGAAGCTCACAGATCAAAAGAGAGCTGGAGCAATTGAACCCCTAGTCAAAATGTTCACCACTAGAAACCTAGAAGCTAAGTTAAATCTATAAGATCTATATTACTAATAACTCTACGTAGCCACTGCTAAAAATAAACTGAAAAGTGAAGACGAAAACCTCTATGTTCATGACTTTCTGTTATTGTTCTTGGACCTGGGCAATGGCGATCTGATCGGATCATGCTTCCAAGTGAGTGCAAAACAAGGCTTGTCAGTTAATCTATGACGAAACATCCAAACAGTTGCCCAATAGTCGTTATGTTCATGCAAACCGTAAGATCTATAGAACTTCTTCCAACCTGAATTAAGCACATAAAGCTTAGAATCTGCCCAAGACTTGAATATCATATCGTATGCAACCCCGTCTGGACCATAAGTAGTCACTTGTATTCCTTTACTATCATAAACATCTTCATGTTCTTGCAACATTGGCAATATAAAAGCTATGACTTTGTCTCTGTTCAAAGAAAGCCTGTTAAAATTATCGCTTAAATCTGTGTGTGTCAAGTGCTTTTCGAAGGGTTCACTGCATATTCCAATGATTCCTCTTAAACTTTGAATAGGTGGAATTCTTGGCAATCTTTTGCTTAGCATGTTTTGGAGTAAAATAGCATCTTCCTCTTTCAAAACATGGTGTTTCATTGATAAAAGTATATAAGCTGCATTATTAATGACCTCCCTCTCCTCCTCCTCGTCGTTGTCTCTATTTTCCTCATGGATTTGTTCATTATCAGCCATGATTGGTGGTTCCACTTCCTTGGATTTATTGTTAAGTATTGTTCCTCTTGACGATCTCTTGAATATGCTTCCCTTTTTCGCCATGATTTATTCACTCACTCTTTAAAACCTAATGAGAATTAAACTACATCAAATTATAGGGAAAGGGTGTATAGACTATAGTGTTATGAAGAAGAAAGACTTCTTAAAATCTCAGGAATTTTAATAAGGTTCCTACTACCATTATACAGTCCTGGGGTGTGCGTCTTAGTACTCATTTATTTATGGATATATATATGTTTTTTTCCTAATTTTTCGTGTTTGTATTTATGGTATTTGCGTGTTTATTGGTACTTTAATTAAGGGAAAAAGCTAATGATTTTCGTGTCGTCAAATATTAATACAGTAAACTATGGTATGTAACTGAAGATTTTATTTTTACCAAAGCAAGCGCAAAAGTGCTAATAATTCGCAATTATCCTCGCCTTGTCTTTTTTGTAAGGAAAAAGGGCCAAATATACCCATCTACTTTCAGATATTGTCTAAATTTAATCTCTGTTATACTATCGGGTCAAATTTACCCCTACCGTTATACTATCGGGCCAAATTTACCTCTACCGTTATACTATCGGGCCAAATTTACCCCTACAATCAACAAACTTTTAAAAATTACCCTTTAGTCCGTCACCCAGAATCTCCCAAATCATTTTAATTAAGTTACTGATTCTTCTTCTTGGTCCACTATTTTCGAAATAATTGGCATTTACCCGCTTACTAAATTGGAGAAAAAAAATAAGAGAAAAAAATATTAAATAATACAACCATTAATAAACAAAGTATAGTAAATTGAAAAATCTAAATTAGGTAGCTTGTCTAAATTCTAAAAGTATTTACGACAATTTTAATGAATTCGTAAGAGGAAATCAGAAGAACGGGGATTCAAATCGCCTATTTTTTCCCCTTCTTGTTTGCAAGAAAAAAAAAAGTAACTAAACTAAACAGTAAACAGGAGGCATAGTAGCAGAAATAGAAAGATGGACATCCCAATGTATTTGGAAAGAAAGAAGAAGATAGGGGGAGGAGGGGTATGCCCATTACTTTAGCTGATCTCTTATTTATCCAAGAAAACAGATATTAGGATGCCTGTTGAATTCACCAAATGTATGAAGACTTTGCAAGTATTGGTGATTGAAGTTGAAGGTCCTCAGAGTCTACATTGTCAAACTCAACATTGCTTTAATCAAATGTCTACACATTATACACTCTTAGTTAGTCGATCGACCTCTATACTAACCAGACAATGACTAAATATATTTGAATATATATATGTACATACATGATGATCAACTGCATATAATACACAATAAATAGACCCACTGAATTCTACAATGTGTATATGATTGAAAAATAAATAATTTTTTTTCCAATTCCAAACCCATTATTACAAGAAGAGAAGTAGGTGCATGGTAATTAAAAAGAAAGAATTACAAGAAAATACACGTGACTTCACACCATAAAAAAAATGACCCATGTTTTTAAGTTTTACCCGACTTAGCCCATATTGTACATATTTTGAAAGCACTAGCAAATTCAAAATCTGTGTTCTTACAACCATTACTTCTAAAAGCTATGGAGTTAAATTTGTGTTCTCACAACCATTGCTTTCACTCTCTCTTCTTGTCACATCTTCTACATATGCTTCAAGGGGCCGTCCGCCATTACTGCTTCTCCCCCTGTATCACCTGGTTGCAATATAAGAAAATTGAAGAGTAGAAGTCTACTATTGAAGGGCATTCAAAGCTTTGTTTTTGAAAATAGGATTTTTTGAGTTTGTTAGTTGTTTGGATTGGGTGTTGTTCCAATTGATTGAAAATATCAAAAGGAGTTCAAAATTTAAATTTGAAGTGATTTGGAGTAGATTTGAGCAAGATTTGAGTTAAATTTCAGAAAAGACGCAAGGAAGAAGACGTAGTCAGTTTTTGTATAATTATGTATAATCTTGTATAATAATATATAAGAGTGTATAAACACATCTTATATACTATTATACACCTTTATACAAGTGTATGTATACGAACTTTTTTTACGATTTTCAGTTGCAATTTTTGTTCAAAACCAGTCCAAATCTCCATTAAATGACTTCAGATTTTATATACAACCTCCTTATACTATTTCTAATAAGTATAATTAACACCCACTCCAAATTTCTCACAAAATCAAATTCGAAATTTAAACCCACATATTTAAGCTTGTTAAAAATTTAATTTTCACCACCCAAATGGATTTTATTTGTTGAACTAATATTTGAGTCACAGTTAATGATTCGAAAATTAACTTAAAAGCTTGAGCAATCTTTTTTAAAAATTAAATAGTAATTTCGAGAACCTATTGGAGTTGAATGTTGAATCTTAGCCTATTATTTTTGGGCTAATTGGTTGTAAATTAAAATATGGGCTATAAAATTAAAAAGTAGGGAGTCTAGTTGTTCTTATGTGAAATTTTCCCAATTAAAAACGTTTATGAATAATTTGTAGAGTCTAGTAACTTTAGCATTCATATCAATAGTAATTTTCGAAAATAGTGGAGCAAGAAGAACAAGTGATTTAAATAAAAGAAATTTGGTAGATTTTAGATTACTTAACGGATCAAGGGGTAATTTTTAAATGTTTGCTGATGCTAGAGATAAATTTGGCCAGATAGTATAACGGTAGGGGTAAATTTGGCCGGATAATATAACGAAGGTTAAATGTAGACAATATTCGAAAGTAGAAGGATATATTCGGCCCTTTTCCCTTTTTGTCAACTACCTTAAATCAATATTACCACCATATTGGTATGGTGGTAAATACTTATGCGCAGACATAAAGTTGTATTTTTCTGATGCTAATTGGTATTTGATATCTTTATTTGATGTTTAGAGCTTGAAATCATAGTTATCATGATAAATCCCTGTCTAGGCGATTTCTGTGAAAAAGTTAATGCCTTGACTGATATACTTGAAAAGTATGCTTATTTCTCCACTTGTGGTGATAGAGTTGAATCTAATATTATTTGAGTTGCTTCTCCTTTTTGTCAGCAAATACAAGTCAATTTATATAGATCCGAATATCCGAGAAGCCCAATGTATAAGAGTGACTCACTTATACACTATATTCTTTCAAGAATTTTTATAAAGCACAACAATTTAGAGCCTAATTACTATAGGTAACTATAGTTTGCCTAATTATAATTTATAGCTACTGTTCAATTATTACCAGATTGTATCACTCGTATTCAGATGCACAACAAATACAACATGTGTCAAATATATTCGTTCGCGCAACAAATACAACTTGTATCAACTAAATTCGTTTGTGCAACAAATACAACCAAGGCGAAATACATAGGTGTCACGACCCCAAATTTCCACCGAAGGAGGTCGTGATGGCACCTAGTCTCTAAGACAAGGTAAGCCTATCAATGCGGAATAATCATAAATATCTGAAATAAATAAACTACAATTCAAATAATTACAACTCCCAAAACCCGGTAGAAATAAGTCACAAGCTTCTAAAAATTTATTCTCAATGTTTCTATGTATCAAGGTCTAAAGAAAATAAGGATGCAACATAAAAATGATAGAAGGAGACTACAGAGTCTGCAGACGCTGACGGATATACCTCGAAGTCTCCATGCGCAGGTAACTCACTCACGTCTAGACTGGTAAGATGTACCTGGATCTGCACAAAAAGATGTGCAGAAGCGTAGTATGAATACACCACAGTGGTACCCAGTAAGTGCCAAGCCTAACCTCGGTAGAGTAGTGACGAGGTCACGTCATGCCCTATTGGAGAATAGATAATGACATAAAAAAATGTTTAAATAGTTCAATAAGATAAAATGACTATGGAAATGAATCAAATAGCATATCACATTTAATGACAACAAATAATTGCAAATAATATCTCGTGGAATCAAAACAGAATTCCTTTCAACTTTATGAAAATCACAACAATTAATCGAAGGCAACTATTACCATAAATCAATATCAACAAGGGCACTACCGAGGTACCGCCTCGTAGTCCCAAATTATAAATAAATTCACAATATCTCATTTTCTTATCTCACCGCGGGAGCCTTCACAATTTATTTTAAAGAAAATATTTTTTCCGAAATATCATCCCGCGTTTTAGCCATCCTTATCACAACGCATGACTTCTAGTAGTTCCCCCTACTAGCCACGCGTATCAAGCCACCCTTATATCACCGCATGTGTTTCAATACCCAGACCTTATACCACCGCATGCGTATCAATATCACAATATATCACAATTTGCACCTCAAGTGCCCAAATATTTCAATTTGCCAAAATAAATCAACGATATTTTTCACAATAAAGAGCTCGCGGTTCATGCAAACATAAATCATCAATAATATTTTTTCACAATAAAGAGACCACAGCTCCATCACAATGAGTACAAAAATTTTACAAAAATATTCAGGAATAAATAATATAGCAAAATAATATTTCAAAATCTTTAATACGTTGCTTCAGTACCAAATTTAAAATGTCAAATATTTCATATTAATAATATTTAATTTTAAAAAAATTAATTTCAAATAATGCACAGAATAAAAAAAAAACCAAGTTTCAACCAAACAGGTAAAATAATTAGCAGGAAAAGGTCAATCAAATTTAAAGTATACAAATCAAATCAATGATGGAGAATATAACAAGATTTAATAAATTAATTAATATGCAACAATGATCTTCATAATTTAAAAATATAATCCTTCACATTTAGTCCGTGTACACACTCGTCACCTCGTGTACACGACTTTCATCACATTATAATTAATATCAATCCTAGGAAAAATTTTCCCCACACAAGGTTAGACAAGTCACTTACCTCGACTTGCTCCAATTTAACCAAGTAGTATGCTTTTTCCTCGATTTTCCAATTTCGGCCGACTCGTATCTAGTCATAATTAATTCGATACAGTCAACAAAAATTATAGAATTAATTCTGTAAGAAAATACTATATTTTTCAATAAAAATCCGAAATTAACTCAAAAATGGCCCGTGGGGCCCACGTCTCGAAACTCGACAAAAGTTATGAAATCC